TGCGGTAAGCGGTGCGGTAAGCGGTGCGGCTTTTTTTTAAGGAAAGTTGAGTGTAGTTTGTTTCAAACCCCCGGAAAACATGTCATTTGGGCAGTTTTTAAGGTGATTTCTGGCTGCGTTTTTCCTTGCGTTTTTTTCAGCGCTCGAGTTTTACAATGTTTCCACTTTTTGCGGTCCAATTCTCGAAAAAACTTGCGAGTTCAAATGAAATTTGGTGCAAATTCTGCAAAAATTGCTGAAAATATTACGAATTTTGGTGCGTTTCAGCGTGCGGTAAGCGATCCAACAAGCGATTTAGAAGCGTTTTGGCGTGCGGTATGGTTTTTTTAAGAAATGTTGAGTTTATTTCGCTTGAAACTGTTAAAAACAGCGGGAAAACACGTCAATTGGCCAGTTTTTAGGGCAATTTCCAGTTGTATTTTTTCTTGCGTTTTTTTCACAGCTCAAGTTTTGCTATTTTTTGCTCTTTGCGATCGATTTCTCAAAAAAACTTACGAGTTCAAAGGAAATTTGGTCCATTTCACCGTCCGGTAAGAAACGCGGTAAGCGATTTAACAGCCTTAACTGAAGCGGTCGGATTTCCTTAACAAATGTTGAATTTATTTTGCTTAACACTGTCAAAACCGGCGGGAAAACACCGCAATTTTCCAATTTGACGGTCAATTCACGTTGAGTTTTTTTGCGCTATTTTCAATGCACGATGTTTGCAAAGCAAATTTTTTCCTTCAATTCAAATTCCACAAAAAATATATGTAATTGTACGAAACTCTGCGCTGCGTTTAACCATGCGGTAAGCAATTCGGCATGCGATTTAGGAGCGTTTACGCCTGCGGTACAAATGTGGTTTAAGAATACAACAAATTCTTCTGAATATTCAATACTTATTGAAAAAATCAACAAAGAAACTCAATTTTGAAACGTATACAACTGAGAAAACCGCACGGTTAGAAGTGGAAGAAAACGCAAACTTTAGATGCGATTGACTCCTCTCTTGGCGTTTCTTTCTGATTTCAGGTCAAGTTTGCACGCGTTTTCACTCGAAAATAAAAACGTTTTGCTGATGCGTTAGGCTGTGCGGTGAGCTTGCGGTAATAAAATGATTCCCTGCAATCCTACTAATTCCAACCTCAAATTTTTGCGTTGTTTGCTGTTTGATGCGTTTTAATACGTTCTAAACAAAGCGTCTGAAAAAAAAAATTTACCGTGTGAAAACGCAAAAACTGCGCGGTTTGTTAAAAAAAACGCACTACATGCAGTAAACCTGCGATTTTACGGTTTTTCTCGTCGCATATGGCCGTTTCCACTTGAGAAACAAAGTTTACAATTCTCGGAAAAGTCTCAAGAACCGTGCGGTATCGACGCGGTTAAACATTTTTTCCAAATCAAGCTTTAGCTCATGTAAACAACGTTAAAACACTTTCCTGTCCAGGAAAAAAATAATACGTTTTCCTGTGCGGTGAGCGGGCGGTTTATAAAAACGCTCTTCAATAATCCACAAAAAAATTGCCAAAACGTTGCCACAACGGGTTTTCGGTACCAAAAAAATTCTGCAATGGTTTGGCCATGCGGTAAACGGTGCGTTGAAAGTTCACAAACATTTTTTTCATAATTCTCCCTTTGCTTCCTCTTGTTTTCCTGCGATGGAGCTGATATGAAAGTTCGAAAAATCGAGCGATTGTTGCAATTTTTTTAAACCTAATTCCATCGAAATCTCCAAAAAAATATTTCCTGCGTTATTTTTGTTGCACCAATTTTAAGCACATTTCTGCCCCTTTCAACCAACTTCTGCAAAAAACCAAGCAAGGAAATACGAAAATTGGTGCGTTTCACCGTGCGGTAGGCGATTTAGAAGCATTCCATTTGTTTATTAAGTCATTTATGCTAAAAATTCAGTCATTTTTGCTTGCGGCTGTCGGTGCGGTAAACACGCCAGCAAAAATTCACCTTTTGAGCTCGATGGTCGCCTGCGTTATTTCTACCACAGCATCGCAATCGATTTCTGTAGCCAAAAACTCGCCAAATTTCTAAATTCAGTCGACAAAATCCAGAAGAAACCGAAAAAAGGAAAATAACTGGCAGCAGCTTGCGGTGAGGTTGCGATTTCAGTGCGGTAATCGGTGCGATATGGATATAAATGCGCGAAATTTACTTTGGCAAACTTACCTTTCCGGGCAGTCAAAAATCGCCAACCACCGCACGCTTACCGCGCGGTTTTTCTTCGGCAACTTCCAGGAAAAGGACTCCAAGTGGGCTCCAAACAACTGCACAGGCTCCAGAGCTGAAACCAAAAAAAAAAAAAATTATACAGAGTGTCCCAGAAAAACCGCGCCAATAAATTCCCTCGCACAGTGAAACCCGTTGATCGTCCATGACGTGCGACTTTCACTTTTCGCTCACCGCATGCGGAACGTGAATGTCATGGTCACGACCATGAAGCATGATGATTAACTGAGTCGAAGCATGTCAAAGCATCGTTCATTTGAGGCGAGAAAACGCAATAAAATTCATCCCCGAACTTTTTGTATGCGTTTTTTGTATGCGGTTTTTTATCATTTTGTTTTGTCCTTTTGTGTCGTCCAGGTCACATTATCAGCACTTTAACGAAGAGGGGATGGTGATAAACACGATTGGTGTCAGTTTGATCGCATTGGCCATCCTGGTGGGGTACATTCTGCAAAGGGACGATTTCCGATATCGAGCTCACATTCTGATCCGATCCGGCGACTTGTAGAAGCGCCAGCGGTTCACATTCAAAGTGTTCAAATGTTGTGCGCAGCTCAGGCCGCGCCACTCGGACACTCTCAACTTGTTTTGCGCTCTCAGTCCCACTCACTGGCGCGGTCTGGGCTGTTGCGATGTTGCCAAAGTTGTTGGGCCCCAACGCCAGCGGCAGCGGGCGAATTTTGCAAAAATATCCCCAGTTGTCTTTAAATCGGTTAAAGATAATGCGTGATTTAAAGATAACTCGGCTGCATCCACAGCTGGACCAAATTGCAACTTGTCCAAAAAGTATCTCTAATTTTTATCTTTAAATCTCCATTCAATCTGATTCAATAGGTGATTTAAAGATAACAGTTTTAGTTTGGGAACGTTCAGATCTAGCATTTCCCAGGACAAGCAAAAGAAACAATCTTTAAATCGGCGTAAAAACCTGCTTGCAACAGTTGATCGAATGTCAATTATCTTTAAACTGTCTTTGGTTTAGAGCCAACACCCGTGTGGTTGTCTTTTGACTGATTTTTGTTTGTGTCAAGTTTAGAGATAATTACAATAAAAATTCAAAGATAATTGAAAATTCGCTATTGAAGCTCAGTTGGGCTCAAACCTCAGTTTGGACTCGACTGTCTGAGAAAATCTCTAAGTATCTTTAAATCTCCGCCACCGTCACAAATCCGCTTGGGTTTTGAATTAAATATTCTCAATCAATATTCAGAAATCCAAAGTTAAATTAGAGAAAAGTTCATGGCTAATCAACGCAAACTCATCAATCGAACTGTCTTTAATTTATCTTTCAATTTGAATTTTTAAGGCTAAAAGCAGTCAAAACTGCAACAAGTTCATATCTAAAATTCGGTCTATAGCGAAATATTTTTGAATTATTTCCACTGAAGCAGGTTTAGAGATAATTTTAAATCGCAAACCAACGGAAATTTAAAGATAATTTCCGATGCAAAATTGATTAACTGACTGAAGTGGTCTTCTGCATTCAGCTGCACAATTAATCAAACCGTCAGCAAATTATCTTTAGTTCGGCCATATTTTGGGGCTTAAAACAAAAACTTGCTGTAAATTTATCTCTAAATTTTTCGCGAGGCGATTTCAACTAAAGCAGCTTTCAATCGTCCCCGATTGAACTGACAAATGAACAATCAACTTTAATTATCTCTTTTTTATCTTTAAATCATCCTCCATTTGAAGTTGCACGCCTTAAAATTGACCCTGAAATTTCTTCAAAACGCCAGTGGTTTTTAAGATGCTGATTTTTTCATTTTAATCTGCAATTATCTTTCAACTTGCCCAGGTTTAAAGATGGCCCAACCAAACACCAAAAAACGGTTTAAATATAATCAAAATCTGCTTCAAATTGACCCTTGAGATTCTTTCGATTTGCTTAATTTTTTTTTAATATGCAATTATCTTTAAACCTGCGCAAATTGACCAAAAAATAATTTACAGATAATTAAAATTGCGGGATTTATTGACTTTTTTAATGCATCCGTTGAATTCAATTAGTCAACCACCACTCAGTTAATTAAAATTTATCTCTAATTCAACTTATCTTTAAAATTTTAAGCAGTCATTGTCTTAAGCTAACCCAAAAACTGCTTTCGCTGCAATTCATCTTCGATTGGTCTATTAAGGTGCTTCCAAATGCCAGTGGCGTTTGATCTACTGTATCCAGGGCTGATTTAAAGATAACCCAATGAAACGACTAAAAATCGATTTAAAGATAGTTAAAATTCCGGGATTTATTGACTTTTTGAATGCATCCGTTGAGCTGAATTGCTCAACGACTAATGAATTAACACTCAATTAATTCTAAAAGTATCTCTAATTCAAATTATCTTTACGCTTTTAAGCAGTCAAGTTGCCTTAAACTGAATCCGAAATTTTTTTCGCTGCGAATGATTTTCGCTTTGCTCTAACTGAGGCAAAGAACAGATTCAGCAACCAAACGGCAATTTAAAGATAACTTTTCAAACTCAAACAATTTCCAATTTGTCTTTAAATCCACTTTAATATGGGGCTGAAAGGAGTGAAGAAGTTTTAAAATTATCTCCAAACTTACTTGTATGGTGAATTTTTCCGAGTTAATGCCCCTGAGGCTGGTTTAAAGACACTTTTGTCAAACGCCGGTTTAGAGATAAGCTTACATCGATTTTTTAAAATTGCTCTTTGGCATCTTGCGCAATTCGCACACATCTAACTCATTCCAGGTATCTTTAAATCAGCTTTGATTGAATAAAGTTGAATTAAAGATAACTTCGATCAAAAAATCAACTCAGATAACAATATGTTAGCAACTTTGAAACACAGATCCTTTCTGTTGAGATTCAGTAATCAAAAGGCGATTTAAAGATAAAAATGTTAATTTTAAAGATGTACCGAAAACCCTCGTTGATTCCTCACTACAAGCAAAAAAACTATCTTTAAGTCGGCTCTAATACCTTCATGCTACAGTTGATCGAATGTCAATTATCTTTAAACTGTCTTTGGTTTAGACTTAAACCCGTCTGATTGTCTCTTGACTGATTTGATCTGTGTCGAGTTTAGAGATAATTACAACAAAAATTTAAAGATAATCAAATTTTCGCTATTCATCAGTCGGCTTCAAATCTCAGTTTGAACTCGATTTATCTTTAAATCTCCTCAACCATTCCAATTCAGCTGAGTTTTGAATTAAAGATAGTCAGTCAAAACTCAGCAATCCAAAGTTAAATTGAATAAAAGTTCATGGCTAATGAACACAAACTCCTCCAAACTCATTAATCGAACTGTCTTTAATTTGTCTTTAAATTTGCAATTTTAAGGCTACAAGCAGTCAAAACCGCAAAAAGTTTATATGTAAAATTATGTCTATTGCAAAAGATTTTTCAATTATTTCCACTGCGCCAGTGATTTTCGATCGACTGCATCCAGGGATCGTTTAAAGATAACCCAAAGAAACCATCAAAAAGTGATTTAAAGATAATAAAAACTTCGGATTTATTGACTTTTTAAAAACATCCGTTGAGTTCAATTGGTCAACTGCTGACTAATTAACACTGCATGAATTCTAAAAGTATCTCTAATTCGACTTATCTTTACACTTTTAAGCAGTCAAGTTGCCTTAAACTGAATCAAAAAATTGTTGCTCAAACTAAGGCAGATTTAGAGATGAACAGATTCATTTAAAGATCATTTCTCGGACACAAATAATTTCCAATTTATCTTTAAATCGACTTCAATATGCTTATCTTTAAATCGACTTTAAAAATACTTTTGTCACACGACAGTTTAGAGATGAGAATGGCTTGAAAGCACAGGGATTTTTTAAATTGCTCTTTGACTTCACTCGCGCAGTTCGCACGTAACTCATTCATTCTAGGTATCTTTAAATCAACTGAACAAATTAACGAATAAAGTTGAATTAAAGATAATTTCGATCAAAAAATCATCTCAACCTGAAAGTCAATTAATGTACGTAAAAATCATTATATTAAAAGTACAAATTATCTTTAAATTTATTTTAATTTCTACATTTGACTAAAACCAAGGCGGGATTTAAAGATAATGGGGTCTATTGATGATTTATGCGCTTCTGGGCTTCCAACTCAGTAACATCTTGTGTCAATTTGCTTCCTGAATGAAACTCTTCCCAATTTAAAGATACTTTAGTTATCTTTAAATCCCCTTTGAATGCCTAAACTGGTACTAAAAACAGCGCGATTCGCTGATATAAAGACCCCAAAGTCAAATGGATGCAGTTTCAACTAGAGTTGGAAGTTGATTTTTAACTGTAAATCCCCATCAAACAATTATCTCTAAATCACATCTTTAATTCCTGGCGATTTAGTTGTTTTTTTGTGCAAAATTGGCCCCTTGGACTTCGAAGCAACGCATTTCAACTAGTCCTAAGCGAAATCGAATATTGTGTTTTCCCATTTTATTTTAGTGTTATTTTTTTAGGTTAAACAGTGTTTATAGATTTATTTTTGTATACAGTTTTATTGTTTAGTTGTTTTTGTGTTCGGCGTTTACTGTAGTTTAGTGGTTTGTTGGCCCGCATTTAGGCGGCCACAGATTCGGCGCCTCCAGCGCCCCCCTGTGGCTTTGGCTCAATAAAACGTCAATTTAGGTTATGTTTTTGAATGTTGCCCGCAAAACTTCCAAACTTGCAGGTTAGTATTTGGTCGCTCCGGCAACTGATTAGACCTTTTTCTTATCAGCATAGCTTGGCATGATGCGCAGCATTTTCCTTTCGCTTGCACTTTGACAGTTAACCGCTTTGACAGTTGTAAATAATCCTGCCGCCTAACACTTAACCTCACTTTCAGGGACGCATACCCGGAATGGCGAGAGGAGGGGATCGTGATAAACGCTTTGGGCATTTCCTTCATTGCGCTCGCCATCCTGGTTTCGTTTGCCGTGCGCAGCAATAACCTCAAATCCGACTTCAAGGTAGAGCGACGTTTTGTCACCGTCGCACCGAACAGAAACAGGAATTTTTCGTTTTTTAGGTTACGGTGGTGGAGCGCATGTAGGACGAGGCGCCCCCGTGCGCCAAAGCCTCGAACCCGACCACCACCATCGTCGACCTGGACGAATCGGGCCGATTTTGAACGATCGCCGTGGGCCTTGAATGCGTCACTCGGTTTTAAGAGCCGAGCACGTCAGCCGCACCTGCGCAGACCAATCATGGACGCCCCCCCCCCATCAACCCCACCTTTTTGTACATTTCAACTAATCATCTTTAATCAAACAAACAAAAAGCTATCAATAATCTTAGGTTAGAATGGCCGGCTGTCAAATGTCTGACAGTTCTGTCACTGTATGAAAGGTTATGCGATTGAGGAATGTGAGGTTATGTAGCCGATGGCTCATTACAGATTTATAGATATCCACACTTATATATGCACATAGATATAGAGTCATATGCGATAGACTTTAGGCGGTTTGCGTACATTTGTGAGGTTATGTTGTAGACTTGCCTTTGTGAATGTACGATTTACGCACTCATGGATCATCTATATGAACCTTTAGTGGATTAGGGCTAGTTGTTGTGCATGTAGTACATTTCCAGTGCAGAGAAATGTACAAAATGTCTAGTTGTACTAAAAATCCGCAGCGGTTTTTTTAGGTAGCGAAATTCGTTAATTTTAGGAAAATCAATGTTTATTCATATGCGAGTGCCGAATAAAAAGTTCATTTGTTGTCATTAAACTTGGCTCACCCAGTATGTACTGCACCCGATTACCCCCATTGCAGTTGGCATAAATGCGCAAGAGCAAGCGAGACGGTCAGTGACTGACAGTGTATTGGAAAGAGACGCCAAGCCTTGCACGCCGCAAGCAGTTGTCTCCTCTCTTTCTACTCCATTGTGCGAACGCGCGTGCTCCTTGTTCCACGCATTTGGAAGTTCCTTGGACACTTTTTGACAGTTTTCGGTGGAGTTTCATCCGCCCGACTAGTTTTGCTTGGGAGTTTTCAAAGCAAAATCACTCACCACCGGTTTTCATGAAAACCATCCGGAATTTTTTTTGGGAGTTGAGTGCAGTTCTGCCATCAAACTCCCAAAAGTTCCCTAATCCAAGGAAAAATATCGCAAATTTGTTTGGGAGTTTGTTTTCATTGGCACATTTTGGGAGTTGCGATTGAAATTCACTCACTAAACTCCCAAAGCTTTCCACGGCCTGCTGGTTTGGTTCGGAAGTTGCAAAGTTTTTTTCAAAACCCTTATAAATTGGTTTTCAAACAAGTTTTCGTTCACCACTGGTTTAACGGGAGTTGCGTTCAAAGTTCTGCTATCCAACTCCAAAATTTTTCCAAATCCCGGTGGTTTAATTTGGAAGTTGCACAATTTCAAATACATTGGCGGAGTTTCAGTTCATCCACTTATAGCGTTTGGGAGTTGTCGACTTTTTTAAGCAAACTGACTCGAATTATTTGGAAAAACCTTAAAATTTAGTTTGGGAGTTTGCTTCAAAATACGTTTTTTGGGGAGTTGCGATTGAAATTCACTCACTAAACTCCCAAAGCTTTCCACGGCCTGCTGGTTTGGTTCGGAAGTTGCAAAGTTTTTTTCAAAACTCTCCTTATAAATTAACTCAAATGGAAGTTTCCTGGGAGTTGAAAAAGTTCAAAGATCAAGCGTTGTCTCTTTCCATTCCATTGCTCTATCGAGACGTCCTTTGTTCCACTTCAGCGTATCAGGTAGGAGTTGGAAACTTTCAAAACTAAGTTAAATGCGAGTTTTGCATTTGGAAGTTTGGAGGTTTCAAAATGTCTTAAACCAATTTGAGCAAATCAATAAAAATGGGGCAATTTTTGCTGGTTATTCGAGGAGTTTTGTCCGCACATTGGCGGAGTTTTCAACTCCCAACTAGTTTTTTTTTGAAGTTTTCGATCACCACTGGTTTATCGGGAGTTGCGTTCAAAGTTCTGCTATCGACCTCCAAAAATTTCCCACATCCCGGTGGTTTAATTTGGAAGTTGCACAATTTCAAATACATTGGCGGAGTTTCAGTTCATCCACTTATAGCGTTTGGGAGTTGCCGACTTTTTTAAGCAAACTGACTCGAATTATTTGGAAAAACCTTGAAAACTCCCAAAGTTTTCCACGACCTGTTGGTTCGGTTTGCAAGTTGCAATGTTTTTTTCAAAGACCCCGGGAGTTCAACGACGTTCGCTCTTTGTTCCACGCATGGATTTTGCTGTGAATAATTAAATCGATGTGGTGAAGTTTAGGAGTTGTGAACTCTCAAAACTGCGTGAAATTGCGGTTTTGCATTCGGGAGTTCGGAAGTTTCTTAAGTGGTATCCGAGCAATCCGTTGAAAACGGGGCGCAATTTGGGAGTTGCCGATGTTTTAAACCACCGTTTGTAAGCAACAAACTGCAAAGTGGTAGAGAGTTGGACTAACAAAGTTTGGCGATCGAACTCCAAAMRTTTCCCAAAGTTACTTGGTCCAGTTTAGAAGAAGAATTTTTTCAAAAAACTTATCGGGGAGTTCAAAATTCATGTCATGCKCTCATTMTATTCCATTGTTTTATGGCACTGWTCCTTGTTCSACTCATGCGTTTTRTTGTGATAAAGTTAATTYYGGAGTTTYAAACGGCACATTTTGCAATTGGRAGCTTGGAAGTTTCTTGAACRAACTTGAGTAATTCAACGCAAACTTTAAGCAATCACTTACAAACTGGTTTGGTGTTTGATTTAATCGATATTTTTCGGAGAGTTGAGCTTGAAGTTCTGAAGAACTGCCGGTTATTTACTTTGGAAGTTGCTGTTCGTTTTAAGCAAAATGACACAAATTTCTAGGAAAACAAAAGAAAACTCCCAAAGTTTCTGAAATCCATGCKGTTTCGTTTGGAAGTTGCAAAGCTTCAAACAGGGTACAGCGGATAAGTTCTAGTGAAACTTTCCCGGGAGTTGRAACATTCAAGTGCKCTCTCTTTCTCTTCCATTGTTCGRTCGCGCCTCTCTTTGTCCCACTCGTGCGTTGCAAACTGTCAAAACTGAGTTCAACCGCGACTTTYGTATTTCGAAGTTTGAAAGTTTCTTATACCGATTTGAGCACTTCCATGGAAATGAGGCAGTTTTTCCTGTTTTTAGTGGAGTTTTGCGTGCACATTGGGGAAGCTGTCGAGTTTTTTAGACGGGAATTCGACTCATTTGTACCCTTTTTGGGAGCTCAGTTGGAGCTTTGGCCATCGAACTCACCAACTGCCAAAGTTTCCCAAATTCAGGTGGTTTTGGTTGAAGGGGAAACTCTCGCSAGMGTCCAAAATGGYTTCAACTTCTCGTGTTCTCTCTTTCTATTCCATTGCTCCGTYGCGCCTCGYCTTGTTCCTCTCAAGCCCTTTGTTTTTGAAATGCCCGTTAGTGTAGGAGCTGGGAACTTGCCWAACCTGTTTCYACGAGCCAAAGTTTCCTTTGGAAACCTCCGAAGGGTGCAGTTGCGGCCCAGACGCGCTTAGGTGGCAGTGGGGAAGTTTCAAAAGTTTCCAACTCTGCCCCTCAAACCGCTTAACCCAAAGTGAAAACTGCAAGTCTTTTTTTGAACTCACCTGAAGACAAGTTTCTAGCGGAAAAGCCCTCCTCAACAGGGCCTAGAATGGAATATTCTCGCCAAGAAGCCGCAGGAACGCACTTGACACCTCAAAAAACTTGACACTGAGGCGAAGTAACCAGGGCAACACCGCCAGTCAACTGTCAAAAAGCCCCCAGGCGTGCCAACTTTCAGTTAGGGACGTTGGCGCCACTGCGCGATCGCTGTCGACGCCCGTCAATTGTCCGCCGCCATTTTGTCGAATTTCTAACCTGCAGTTCGTCGCTGTTGTTTATTGATAGATTTCTGAGCGCAAATCGGTCGATAATGTCGGGCAGTGGATCAGAAGATGATCAGAGCGAGGATGGGGAGTTGCGTCAGAGCCCTCGGAGCGGCCCCAACTCCAAAACCGACCAAATGGACTATCAGAGGTAAGCCAAGGGAGCGTGGCCCCTTTTGAGGGGCTCGAGTGACGTGAGCGGAGGGTTTTCAGTGAGGAGGATGTAGGCGATATGGATTCGCTGGACATCAAGCCGCCGCAGGCCAAAGTGCAGGAGCACCGGGCGAAAAAACGGGACCCCGAACGGGGCCACAAGCGCATGGAGGAGCGAGGCGAACGGCGCCGGGACGAGCGCCATAAACATCGTGAAAAACACCACAGGTGAGTGTTTTGCGTTTTGTTCGAGCTATTTGCTGCCAAGCGACAGTKTATGGGGCAGTTTTGCCCAGGTTTTCGGGTGGCAAGCTGGGACGCAGCCGTGTGGGAATCGGGGCTCCAACGGCCCCCGGGGGGTCTGGAATTATTTGAATTAGAGTCTGTTGGGTGCGACGCCAGTCATGCCGCTGGATGTTGCAAAGTTGGGCTCACCGAGCCCAACCAGGGGCCCGAAGACGCTGCCATTCTGGAACGCAGTGGCTGGCCTCAACTGTGCCCTCCTGCAGCYTTTTCTATCTGAATCCAGCACCGACCATAGAGGCCGGATGTTTTATCAAGACTCTTTTTCGRAAAAACTTGGCYTTGTTTGCCTGYAATCAAGTAAAACGTGGAATTTTTGCCGGTATCYCCTTAGAGGTTGGAATTCCCGATGAAGCSCCGATGCGACAGCGAAGCCCTATCGATGGGCAACCGAAAAGGTTCYAARGGTTAGTTGGRTATTTGCCCCTGTTTCCGAGATACAGCGGGTTGAAGTTCGGCAGGGTCTAAACTTGGGGCAGTTTTCGCTTCTATTTTTTTAAGGCTGGGGATTTCGAATGGGGCCCCCAATGGCCAAACGTAGGGATCGGTTCGAGCTGTTCATCGGCGCCTGCCATTTGGCTGTGTGGGCTCTCGTTTTGGGGAAATCGACGGTTTTGTCCAAATTGGCGCATTCGCCATTCAGTCCAGTCAGCCGCAGCTTAGGGGGTTTTGGCCACTTTTTCAGGTTGATTTTTGGTTTGTTTTGTTGATTTTTGGACGATGATTGCCCAACAGTGTTGGGGCTCTTTTGGAATTGAAACCGGCGGACTTTTTCGCTGGAAAAGAGTTTTTGGAAATTTGCAATAGTTTTTCAAAAAAACGCAAAATTGTGTTTTTAGGTTAGTTTTGCCTCTTAAAATGTCAAAAAATTAATAGAAAGAGTTTTGAAAGGTTTCAAAATTTTGACAGAAAGTTTTCGTCTTATTTGCTCCTACTAGAAGTAGTGGATGCTGGCGCAAATGAGGACGAATTGAAGGATTTTTGCG